CCTTATAGATTGTACTCGAAGAGAGTTGGTATTTCCTCAGTTGGAGGGTGAGGTGTTGGTATCAGCGGGTCAGGGCTAGCTTGGAGTTGGGGTGACCGCTGCGAGACGGGAAGTTTGATCCTCGTGTTAGAGTTACCATTTTGGGTATCAATTTCGTCTGTTCTTGACAAGCATTAAAGTCATATTATTTTTGGGATGACTATATATATATGGTGTTCTATTTTATAACAAAAAACTTAGTTATTTTTATTATTTAGCTATTGTATATTGTTTCTAGGGTAGGTTACTTGGACACTTTGACTCCATTTAACCTAATCTAGAAATACACTCTTTTCTTAGTTTTCTAGTAGTAGGATTGGGAGTGGCATTAGCAAGCTAGAGAGTGTAACTAGCAAGCTAGAGAGTGTTACTAGCAATTGGGCCTAGAGATGGGCCTAGGCAAAATTTTACATATTAGACTCATTTTACTCCTAATTTTTCATAGATTTGATTTAGCTAGGTTTCATTCACATTAGATGAACCTAACTAAACCAAATCAACATTTTTTCAAAACCAGTTGGAGTAAAATAAAGTCCATGAGCCGCCCACCTTAATTTGTGTTCACATTACTTGTTCACACTCAAGCTTAGAAGCTTGAAGCACAAGCTTCTCCTTAGCTTGCTTACCAAGCAAGCTAAGTGAGTAGCTTACTCTCCAAGCCTCTAGACCATAGGTGGTTAGCTAGACCTTACCATGGTTCACTAGGAACCATGGTTAAGACTAGCTTACTCTCCAAGCTTCCTACTCCTATATACTTGTTTTCCTTTCATTGTAAGACACTTTTGGAGATATTGAGAATTATTTTCTGAAGATTACTCAGATTTCTCTCTTCTAAAAGTCCCTAAACCACTTTGATATTCTCTTATCCCTTCACTAGAAGAGTGTGGTGAGAATTGAAAAGACTTATCTCTTCATCAAGGAGTGGCGTCTCTTAGGAGAGTTCTCCACCAAACCATGGTGGCTCTAAGGTCTCCTCCTCCACTGGAGACCTTAGCAAAGCTTAAGAAGAATCAAGGAGCCGAAGATCTAGGGAGGAACTTGAAGAGGATTCACAACAATCTGGATTCTCCAACAAGTTTCCATCATTTGGTATCAAGAGCTAGGTCTCCTTGGTAAATTCATTCTTAAGCTTTCTTGTCTTGTTTTGTTCGGTTCAAATCATGTAAAAGTGTGTCTAAACTGTTCCTACATGTATTTCCTTTTATTGTCTTGAGTTTTGTATGCCTTGAGTGGTTGTTGTGTCACATCTATAAATCTATAGAACACACTCACTTTGTCTTTGATGGAATCATGCTTAGAAAGGAAAGAGGTGACAACCTAAAAGATCCAAGAGGAGTGGGCTAGGCATGGAGGTTTGGGCCAGTCAAGGCCCGATGGGCCCGATGGGCTTGGAAGGCCCAATTCAAGCTTCTCATGGGCCTATCTTAGTATAGTTTCCATATATTTTGGTCTTGTATTTTGGACCACATAGAGTAGCATTTTTGGGCATTAGGCTTGTTGGGCCTAGTTTTGGGCTTCATGGGCCTTTGGGTTTTTGGTACCCAATATTGGGCTCATTTTCATTCTTGTAATTTTTCCTATTCATTGTATTTCATTTACCATTGTATTTAGGTCATTAGATTAGGATTTAAGGAAGATTATTAGTTCAAGTGAATTAGGCAAAACTAGGTTTAATTTAGTATGCATTTAAGTTGCATTTTGAGTCACATGGATGACACCACCTTGGCTGAACATGTGTGACTCAAATTCAACCCTAAATGCACACTAAATCAAATCTAAATACATTTAGCACTCATGGGGACCGGACTTGTACATGTGTGATGAGATTTGAATTCAAATCTTGGCGCCACATGGGAAGCCTCCACATTGGCGCCAAATGTCTCCTAATTCCGGATGCTTATAATGTTCCTCCTTCACACATTGTACTCACTTTTGAACTTCAGAAATTTGAGAACATTTCTTTGCCAAATTTCCCTCAAGAGTCACCGAGAAAAAGAGAGAGAGAGTGCCTTCAAAACCTTAGAAACTTACCTAGTTCCTACCTTTTGAAGTGAACAATCTCTTGATTGCTTAAGCTTGGATGCTTCCATCCTTGGCTTAGGCCATTTCATCCGAAGAAATCCTCCATTCAAAGTGTTCATTCTATTTGGTTTCAAGCTCCATTGAAGAGGTCCAAGCTTTGGTGAATCCGAGGAGAAGAACACCTATCACTTCTCCTAGTTTTTGCCATCAATTTTGGTATCCAGAGCAAGGTACTTCTTGGAGATAAGTGTTCTTAATTTTTTTTGGTCCGTTTGATATTGTGTCTTTGTGTTTTTGATTGTCTCTTTTGTGAGTTTCTTTTGGATCTATTGGTTGTTGAAAATTTTCTATCCATAGATCCATTGGTTGATTGTAATTTGAAAAATAACCGATTTTAAAAGCCTTTTTTCCACTAGTGAAGGGAGATTTTAAATCCCCACAACAAAACCACTGCAAATAAAGGAAGTTTGAAACCTCTGCAAAATAATAGTCAACAATTCCACACAAAAAAACCCCACAATATAAATATAATCAGGTGTCGGAGATCACTGTAAACCTCTGCAAAAAGGTTGTGATGAATATATTTATGGAGGTCTTAAAAACCTTCACAGATTAATTAGGTAAAAATTTCCGCAAATCAAAATAAAAACCTCCACAAAATAGTTTTTTTTCTTGTAGTGACAATAATATTTTATCTGAAAATCCTCAACATATTATTAACTTTTTTATAATGTATCATTTTATTCATCAATTTTGTTTGTTTGACCCTATTGAAAAGAAGAGAAGTGTAAGAGAATCAATTTTATTAGAGTTTGTATTACTTCCTAAAATCATTAAAAAAAACTATTTAATGTTTTACATTCATTATTAAAAAAAAAACAATAATAGATTATTTCTCTCCACAATATAAAATAAGCTGCTACTGTAACATTGGTAACAATAGGTTATTGTGGCTGTCTATATCATAATTACCAAACTAAGTACCTTATTGGTGGCAACAACGACCCTAAAATCTTAAGGGATTCATTGTCATACATAAAAACACAGAAAATATAAGTCTAAGGTGGGGTCCTTTAAGATGAGAGACATCTACGAGTAAAGCCGGAAGTGACCGACACTTAAGTTTACTCTATTATGATGTTAACAACATACCCAATATATTACAAGATAACCACGACCAAGAAAACAAGAGAGAAAAAAGATCCATCTTTTAATAATGACTTAGTGCAAGAAAACAACTTAGGAGTAGTATATGAAAAGTCTTCGATATTACATAATCGAATGCACGCCTTTTTTTTCTTTTTATCATGAAAAATTAACATCGGACAATAATGAGGCTGTAAAAATTAATACAAGGTATATAGTATCAAAACATAATTCTTTTTTATCATCATTTGCAATTTTTTTTTGAAAATAATTAGTATATCACAATTTGTACAATATTAGCTCCCCATTATTGATTAAATAATAAATAACGTGATAGAAAATATAGATAAAAAATGATATTGTAAATTTTTTTAATCTCATAATCAATAATTATAAATTAATTCTTTTTGAAACCTAATTACTAAAACTTTGTCTTCTCTCAACAAGTTTATTCATTTCTCTGTATATAAAAAAACAAGTTTATTCATAGTTTCATAGACATGATCAAGATTCAAATTCACAGGATACTTAAAAAAAATTCAATTATCATATTAATTAAAATAAACCTTATAGTTTTCTTTATGAGTTTACTTACTAAAAAAGCACATTAGATTTTAGAATTGTTTAGGGATATGGTAAGATTATGGCGCAGAGGTAGGATGGAGTGATCCCTGATTTGGTGGGAACTTATCCAATTGACTTGTAGGTGTGACTTAAGGGTGTGTTTGGATGAGGAATTTTACAAATTCAAGAAATTTTAAATTCTTGGTATTTGAATTACTTTGATTTCAATTTCTATCATTCTTAAAATATTTTGTTTGGATGAGTCAATTCAAATTTCTTAAATTTTAAATTGTTAAGTTGAATATGATAATTTGATTCCATCATAGTAAAACTAATTTTAAAAATATATTTATATGTTGAGATTTTTAAATTAAATTTTATAAAAATAAATATTAATTCATTTTTAAATATTTAATAATTTTAAAAATTAATATTAGATAATATTTAATAATTTTAAAAATTAATATAAGATAATATTTAATAATTTTAAAAATATTTTTGAATATTCAATAATTAAAAGAATAAAGAGATAAGATAAAATATATAGGTGAAATAAGAAAAATAAATATGAGGAATTTCAAATTATCCCATTTTTTGAAGAATTTGAAATTTTACTATTTTAAGGAATTTCATAAATGTTTGGATTTCAAATTCTTTGTAAATTCCTCATCCAAACAAAGCATTTTACCTCAAGAAATTTGAAATTCTTCAAATAAATAAATTACCCTATCAAAATTTCTCATCCAAACACATCATAAATGTTGAGTTGAAAATGAAACCATCTCTTTCTACTTTCACTCACTCACTCACTCACTCTTATTAATTCTCATCTCCTTCCAATAATTTTGGGTCTAATTAAGTTGGTGGCTCGCTACCAGCTCTCTTCCTCGGCTCACTAATGTGATTTAATTAATCCATGTTGCAATTTACAATTTCACAAATATATTCTACTATTTTATTAGCCTATCCAAATGCATGTGATAAAGTCAATAATAACCAACATATGCTACACGTCTCAAGAGTTTTTTTATTATTTTATAATAATTTGACAACTGAATTCTTCTAAAAAAGAAAGATGAGACAGGTGATGAAATGAAATATATATAGGAAATGGAAAAATGAAAATATGCAAAATTAGTTTGAGGCAATTGAATAGTGGCTGAAAAGAAAGGCGTATAAGGCGGAGCTAAGTTTACACGCCAACATAGCTGTCTGTCGATAATTAAACTAATCAACTCTTCGTCCTCATCCTCTTCCTTCTATCCTCGTCATTATAAGTATCCCTCACACTCCAACACAAAAAAAATATAAAAATAAAAATAAAAGTAAAATAATAATAATAAATAAATAAACTTTGTTTCTTCTTTTCTCTGTCGTCCCTTCGTTTCGTTCCCTCCATCTTTCATCTCTGTGTTGCAAGCTGCGACAACAAGTAAACAAGGCATAATATATAGTTGTTATTATTATTACATACATATATTATTATGGGTTTTCTTGACAAACTTTGGGACGAAACGTTGGCGGGTCCCACACCGGAAACGGGTCTGGGCAAGCTCCGAAAGTATAACTCCTTCCCCGCCGGTGGCGCCGCCGCCCGCTCAGCGCCGCCGCCCGACGTGCCGATTAGTCGCAGCATCACCATTGTTCGAGCACCTTGCGGTCTCGGAACAACCGGTTCTGCTTCTTCTTCTGCGCCTACCACCCCTAAAACTCGTAACACTTCTCTCTCTCTCTATATATATATATACATATAGTACTTTTTTTCTCTCTCTCTCTCTTTGTTGGTTCTTGTGTTCTCATAAATATGATATTAAATTTTGTGAGTATTTCTTTTGGCAGCGGAGACGCCAGGTGGTGATTTCAAGAAGTTCACGAGGAGAAAATCAACGGCGGAGAGTGCCGAGAATAGAAGTCCGACAATCTACGATTGGTTCTCGAATTTTTGTTTTTATTTGTTTTTAGTTTCCACGCCTGTTGAGGATCGCACACATAACATGCCCGTTTTTTCTTTTTCTTTTTTTTCTTTTGTGTCTAACTTTTCTTTTTGTTTCATGGTTTGGTCGCAGGGTGATTATGAGTTCTATGGATCGCTGTTAAGAGGGGGAAATGAGATGTTTTGCTTTCAAATTTCAATATCATTCGGCAGAGGCAGAGGGATTTACGTTTTCTGTATATACGCCAACAGATATTCCTATTTCCAAAAGGAATAATCATATCATAATGCATGCAACCTTATTATTATTATATATATGCTATATGGTAACTACCAATAAAATGGCTCAGGTGATATTGCTGCGTCTTTCAGCAGATTCAGCCAACGCTTCATGGGATTCTGGGGATATATATGTAACATAGTAGAAAGCCCGATTCTGTATATATTTGTAAATATGGTTTTATTTTTCTTTCTTTCACTCTTTGGCTCTTGTAAATATATCAATTATGTACCCTCAAATCTCTATCTGTAGAATTCAATGAAGCTTGCTAATTAGAGTCTATTTTGGTATAAGTTTTAGAAGTATGTTTAAAAATTTCTTCGTGAAAATATACTTTTTATTTTCTGTAAAAAATAATTTCTAAATAGTATATATCAAATAGACTCTTAATAATATTGTACTATATCTTGCTGCTTTTGTTACTATTAATGCTTTATTTTACATTTTGCAACACAGCTAGTTTGCATTCTAGGCTATTCTTCCATATTTCATTAGAGAACTAATAGTGTTTGAAAAATTCATGAGGAATATAAAAATTACAACTATTAAAAGCACATGGAATATGAAATCAACTATAAGTAATGCTCATTTCATAAGAATTTCAGCGAAATATCTTCGTATTACATACATATACTTCAAAGGTTGAACATGTATCAGCTATCAATTCAAGTAGATAATTGTTACATGAAAATTTATAACCTCAAGCAACTAATTGACTCAATTCAAAAGACTAAAGAGCAATTTTTATTTGAGGAAAGTAAGGAGTAAATGTAGAGATGACAATCTATTAGAAATTGAGCATTCTATATCATTTTTTGTCAAAATCTAGTGGGTATAGTGACGAAAGCTATGGTGTGACTGCAGTTTTTGGTCTAGGTTGAAGAAGTCTTCACCTTCTCAATCAGATCAGCAACATCTTGAATGGTAGAGATGTTCTCAGCCCCACCTTCTCCAATTGAAATATCAAATTTCTCTTTCAAGGCCATCATTATTTCAACCTGTTCAAATAAAAGACATACCAAAACACATGACAATGCATCTTCTGCATATATTAGTATTGTTAATAGGTGATGTACTTAACAGAATAACAGGTGATGTAGTTAACCACTTACTATCATCCAATCATAAATTATCATAAATGTTAAAATTTGTTGACTTTATAATAATTATCTTAAAAATTACTGATAGTGACTTTTTATTGATTCAATGTGTTCTCACCTGAAATAGCTTAGATGCTGATGTGTTCAGACGAGATTTCCTATCCTTCGCCGTTTCAGATGTTTGGTGGTATGATGCATTCCTCTCCTCTAGGATTGGGGGAGTACTTGTCAAAAAACTCCGACATCAAATTAGTATACTTCATCTTGACATTCTAATGTATTTATATAATACGTACCTCTCTAGTAATCGGATGTTCGTTTCAGATAAGATAATCGCCGTGATTGTTGTGTCATGATTAATTTTCTTGCAACCAAATTATTTTTGTTGGTCAACCCTTGTTACCGATCATGTATCCCAATGTTTATCGATATGTCACATAACCAAACTTGCATCAGCATGTCGTCCTTACCATATTCATTGTCGAGCTTACGTCTCCTGCTCGGGTTGGTACTCATGGTATAACTTTTTTTACATTAATAAAACATGATCTTAAACTTTACTTATTTATTATCATACACTAAAACGTAGCGCTGGAAATTGAAGCCTTACAGTATCAAGAGAAACAGCACCCAAATATGAAAATTTAGTTTGGGGAGTCACGGGCTTCATCAATCGAAAGTTGCTTCACAATTGTGCTTTGGACAATTTGCACAGTTTCTGGTTGTGCCATCAGCCAGTAGATGGAAGACACTAGAGAAGCCAACACGAAATATTATATATTTAATATAAGAAAATGGGTGAAATTATTAGAATGGAGCAAGAGATTAGTGTCAAAGCCACCCGAGAGTGCAAATGACGTTTTTATTGCCCTTTTCAACTGGACTTCATTCACGAGTTTTAGCCCACCAAACTAAACATATTGCTTCCCTACATAAAGTAACAAATGGTATTAAACAATGATGACATTCCCCTCCAAGATAGAAAACTTATTTTGATCAATTAAGTAAACAATATTTGTCTTACAATTGTGGATAGGATCTTCATTTGGCGAGTGGTGGTTGTTCTGACACCAGAATTCAAGGAGAGTGTAGCCAATGAAGTTGACAAAGTGGACACAATAGAAGCCATGACTTGTTTGGGGAAGCACTATGCTAGAAAAATGTAACTCTTAATAGGCAAAAGCTATTTTTAATTTACTATATTCTAAAGTAGATGTTATAATGTTATATGGTTCATGCCATTGAGATTGATTATATATAACGATTTAGCTCCAGCAGCTAATAGCTAGAGTTAGAACCGATGATTCCAAAGGAAAATTGATCATTTACTATATTCTAAAGTAGATGTTATAATGTTATATGGTTCATGCCATTGAGATTGATTATATATAACGATTTAGCTCCAGCAGCTAATAGCTAGAGTTAGAACCGATGATTCCAAAGGAAAATTGATCTGAGCCATAATTTGGCGGAGTGCACTAGAAAATGTGTCTCTTGTACAGATAGAGTATTGATTATTGAATGAACCAGGCCATACTGCTTTATATAATTACGCTAAATACTAAAGGCCAAGAAATTTTCTTTATTTATTGGTGTTTCATGGTGCATGTCGGATCTCCTAATTTGTCAGCTTCAGAACTGATCAACACAGTGTCAATGTGACAAGACAATCCAAAGTCCAAATTTTGACTCCCTTGCCCTTTTCTTTTTAGGCCTTTATCCTCTGAAAGTCACAGTAATCCAAAATAATTCGTGTCAAGTAAGATGAAATTATTTAATCATGAACCATAATTCATCTTTTAAATTGAAACTTGTATAATCATAAATATTAATATTCTCATATAAGTGATAACATTATCTTTTAAGATTTATCTGCATGATACACAAGTTCTTCAAGATATAAGATATTCTTCTTGATGGTAATTAGGACAACAGAATTAGCAAGTTTTTAGTAAGAATAACTCATGAAATTCATATAGTGATAAAGAAGACTAGCAGAGATGTGTGGTAGAGCTCCTATAAAATCTTCTGAAATGTTGTATTTATATATAAAAAAATTGTTTCTTAAAATCATCGAAAACTAAGTCAATAGGTCAATGAGATAAAATAACAACAACTCTTGAAAGACCAAGTTAAAAGAATAAGATAGACTTTTAGTCAAAATGAGCAAGTCAGCAAGACCAAATTTAATTAAAACCAAGTTAAAAGAATAAGATAGACTTAGTCAAAATGAGCAAGTCAGCAAGACCAAATTTAATTAAAATATATTTTAAGATAAAAAAATAAATTAATTATAATAATTTCTAAACCATAATTAAATAAATATATTAATATTTTTGAAATATCACTCAAAATACAATAAAAGGAAGAATGACTAGAATGTCGTGTCATGATAGACTCTATTTGTGATGGTATAAATAGATATCAATAAATGCCAAATTTAAGCAAACTTTAAATTCAAGTTTGGGGTATTTTTTGAACAAATAAAAAATACATTTTAGACCATTAAAATTTTTATTTGTCAAGTCAACATAATTATTGTATCGTCTAGGTCATCACATGGTCGACCTAAGATTGTGTCTCGACATTTGGGGATATTCATCGACGTATGTTGTAAAGATGTCAAACCCAAGATTTAGTTGGAAATCCCTCAGTTAACATAGTATCTCGACATTTGGGGGACACTCTAGGACATGTACCATGAAGAAATTGTAATTTGTGGGTGTATCATACGGGTCGGTGCATATGTCATCATGAATATGAACTACAAAGAGATTGTTGGGGTATCTTTCACTATGAAACTCTTCATGCTCATGCACTTGAACCTGGGGGACTGTATATCATTCAGGTTGATGCATTGTTGACCTAAGATTGTGTCTCAACATTTGAATGATACTCTATAATGTGTGTTATGAAGATTGTATTCTCAATTGTAGATCGACAGTTCTGCAGTCGATGATGTGTCTCCACATTTTGGGGACACTTCACAACATGAACTATGTAGACATTGTAATTTGCAAAATCATATAGTATCAACAATATGGGCAGGGCCAGCCTAGGCCTTGATTATAGGGGCAATTGCCCAGGGCCCATAACTAAAAGGGGCCCTTTTTTTTCCTAAAACTATACAATTGTGTGGTAATTTTTATATTATATTTAAAAATAAATTAAAATTATCATATTTTATATATTTCTATTTTCATATTTAAAATATAAAGTGATACAATTATAATGTCTTATTATCTTTATTTTTAATTTTGTAAGTATTACATTTATAAAATTATAAATTATATTTTTTATTCCTCTAAAATTTTTCAAGTTTGAATCTCTAGTTTCTTAATTTATTTTTGTCTTATTTTCGTTCTTTTAATTTGGAGATGTATTATTTTTGTCCTTAACGTTTATTTATATAATATTTTATAATAAATTATTGCATAAAGTAAATTTAATAAAAATATATTAGTATATTTGTTTTAGATTTGCTAACATTGTTATTTTTTTAATATAATAAAACATGTCGTATTCAATTAAAAGTTTATTACAATGATTGATCTATGAAGTTTTTGAAAAATTTTATTTGGTTTCTAAACTAAAAAAAATTATAATCGAATCATTCATCCTATATATATA